GTTTACAGCGTGCTTCTGTCTCCGCGCTGTTGTCGCCCTGTTGATGACGTCAGTGACGCGGTTTAGTCGAGCGCGGTTTTGTGGTGGAACCGTGAAAAAGAGCCTAGCAGTTAACATTCTTGGTCTGATTGGGCTACAATTAGGAAACTTGTTAGTCTCTTAACTGGCTGAAGCGGTGCCCTTGCTGAGTCGTTTAGTCTCACTGACAGTACCCCGATACAAGATGGCAGAGACCACACCTGCCACCCTCCAATCAAATCTAGAAAAGAAATTAACGCCAGGAGATGTGGGGGCATCCAGCAGAGTTCCCCATAACGTTTCAGCACAGAGGTGAGCCATTTGCAAGCTACCCAGGCCCCCACCCCCACCCCACCCCAGCATTTATCTGAGGCTCCCAAAGCCAGGGAAGATTGGGTGGGACAAACATTTTTCCAGGATTTGATGGGCTATGGGGCCAGTGGACAGCAGAGACACAAGACACCCTTAAACCACTCCCAGTTGACTTTCCCAGGAGGTGCCTAAACTCACTGAAACCTTGATGTGCTTCTTGTTAATCCCTTCCTCGATTTATTACTTTGAAAGCAGTTTACAGATTTAGGCAACGTCAATGTATGTGACTATCACTCAGCTGCCTTTTTTTTTTTCTGGATCTCTTCCAGGGTTATCCAGGACAACAGTATATACAAGGTGGCCAGTATCCCTCTCAAGCCGGACAGTATGCCACGAATGTGCCTCAACCATCTGCTCCATCCCCCTCCTATCCTGGTCACCGGTTGCCACTGCAACAGGGAATGAGCCATTATCTCTCTGCCTCCAGTACTAGCGGCCCATACTATAAGGTACTCCGTTGCTATGGTAACAAGCTGTACCAGATTCTCAGTGAAGGTGAAAGAGACCTACAGACATTCATTCTGTAAGGAGAGAAAGCAGATTCCTAATGGAATGATGAATGCATCAAGAGAGCATCTCCCTAAGGAAGGAGGGAGATATATCTATATTTCCGCTGGCTTCTCGCTATTATTCTGATGATTTTGTAAGGAAAGCCACCCTCCCTCCTCGATGGCCTTCAGATGTGGGATCTTCAGCTCCCAAAATTCCGGGCAATGATCTTGGAGATTTCTAAAGCGAGAAGCTCACAGTCCCGAAAACAGTCAGTTGGGGGAAAGAGTGGCTTTAAGGTTCTAATAAAATATTATGTTCTAATCCTCAGCTAGCAGTCGTAAGAACAACTCTTCCCAACCAGAGTCAGTGCAGGTTGATTGAATAATTTCACAGGGCGGAAGAAAATGTTCTCTCAAGGTTATACAGCAAGCCAGCAATAAAGGAAAAAAAACAAAACCACATTGTTTCTTGGGACTTAAGCCAATGCAGTCAATTGTGCCTGGGGAAACTGGATCTAGATCCGTTTTCTGTTAGTTCACTTAACCCCATCTCACACCTCTTGAATCTTCAAGTTGTGCTGAAGTATAATTTAGGGTTGTTGTTTTTTGTCTGGTTTACCGCACTGTATGAATCTAGCCTTTTGTCATTTGAAACCTTGGTTGCAGCTTCGTACAACCATCCTCAGTCTGGCTCTCTTTCAAATAGATTTGATTTCCCTTCTCCAAATCCGTAGCCAGCATAGTCTTTCGGTAGAAAAGCTGCATCCCTCTGCAGAGGACCCTGTTGGGCAAGGCTATCTTTCCATACTGTGCGAGCCCAACTAAGGTACACATTGGTGTATTGCAGTGTTTCTCAACCTTGGCAACTTGAAGATGTCTGGACTTCAACTCCCAGAATTCCCCAGCCAGCAAATGCTGGCTGGGGAATTCTGAGAGTTGAAGTCCAGACATCTTCAAGTTGCCAAGGTTGAGAAACACTGGTGTATTGTATAGATGCAGATAAATGGATGTTTCTTTAGTACAGTCTCAGTCCAATAGAACAATAATGCTATAGTATATACTGTACAGGTAGTCCTTTATTTACAACTATTAGTTTAGTGACTGAAGTTACAATGGCACTAAAAAAAGTTACTTAAACAGGTCGTCACAGTTACACCACCACATCCTCCCATAGTCACATGATCAAAATTCAGGCACTTGGCAATTAGCATATGCTAACAATGGTTATTTACAATCTTCCCAGCTGTTGTTTTTTTTTTGAGCAAAATCGATACGGGAAGCCAGATTCATTTACAGGCCATTTCATATGCTTAACCCTGCAGTGATTCGCTTAAAACTGAAGACAAAAAGGTTTTAAAATCGGGTGCAACTCACTAAATAGCCTTGCTTAGCAGTGGAGATTTTGGCCTCAATTGTGGTCATAAGTTGAGGACTGCCTGTACTAAGAACAAGAGTTACATAAACATAATACGGGTGGAAGGACTCTAAATCAGACTTGAGAGAAAATTCTATAATGGTTAGGCAATTCCAAGGTGCTGAGATGTTTAGCTGGCTGCATGCTCCACTCGCTTCCCTTTTGTTAGGGACTTGATTCATCTTGTTTGCTGTTCAGTGTCCTGTATTCAACATTTAAGAAGCACACAACTTGTAGAATTGGCTCCTAACAATAGTTCATGCACATCAAACTCTTTGGACAGAGATTTCAAGTCAGCAGTTCAAGGCAGCTAAGCCCTCTTTTGGGCTGAAGAAAATTGATCAAAAAATTACTAGTGTGGGTCAGACTCTAGAATAACATGAGAATTCAGCAATCTTCTGTTTGTCATTGTTTGCTCTTGGGATAAAATGAGGCTAGAATTATGCCCTACTTAGTATCCTTTGGAGAAACATTTCTCAACTTTGGCACCTTTAAGATATGTGGGCTTCACCTTCCATGCTGGCTGGGGAATCCTGGGACTTGAAGTCCATCCATCTTAAAGTTGCGAAAGTTGAGAAGTACTGCTTTGGAATCAAGATGGGATGGAACTGGATTGACGGATAACTCCTGCCTTGGGAATCAGGGCCCAGATTACTCTAGTAACAAATGTTTTTGACTTTTCTCTTTTTAGCCTACTGATCAGTTCAATGGTCAAAATGCCAATTTTAATGGTGGAAACTTCAATACCTATGGACAAGCTACTATGAATGGGGTGAGTTCTATTGTTTGCTCCTGATGAGGCTTTCTAAGGTATTTGGCAATAATGTGGCGCCATGGTGGCACAATGGTTAGAATGCAGTATTGCAGGCTAACTCTGCTGACTGCCAGCAGTTCGATCCTGACGGGGCTCGAGGCTGACTCAGCCTTCCATCCTACTAGTAAAATGACGGCCTAGATAGTGGGGGACAATATGCTGATTCTATAAACTGTTTCGAGAGGTCTGTAAAGCACTGTGGAGCAGTACATAAGTGCTATTGCTAGATTCCAGGTGTTACCTCTCTGCTGTATTTCCACAACTTCTGAAGGCAGACTGTTCCACTGGTTGGATTCCAGGATGGCTTATTCATAGGTTTTTCCATAGATTCACAAAGTTCTTCCACCTAGAAGATACCTTCACACCTTCCCTCATTCGTGCATTTCTCTTTCCTTTTGCACACACAAAAATGACACATTGGGTCATTTTTCTTGTATCCTAAACAGAATTGAAGCAAATGGTGCATCATGTAAGCAAGACTTTGGCTTTGCGTATTTTTATATTAGCTTAGAATTACCATCAACCTCTTGCTGGGTTCATTTCTTGATTGGCATCTTTTCCATTCTTATCCCACTTAAAAAAAAACCGGAGAAACACTTTTGCTGAGTTAAAGAAAGGGCATAATGTGTTAACAAGAGGTTGCACTCTCTTGCATCTTTTTGCAAGGTTATTTTTGTCCATTTTTAATACTTTTCTCCTGGGCCCATCTCCAGGAGTTAGCTCCTGTTCCCCATTATGGGTTAGAGTTGCCCTTTTCACTCAAAAGAGAATAATGTTATATTTTAACTTCCAAGAGCCTCCCCTTGGTGTGGCCAAAGTTGGGTGTATTTTTCTAACTGTTTTTAACTGGAAAAAAATGGACATCTGTGGGGGGGGAATTGAAATATATGCAGCAAGGGAGATGGTTTTCACATGGTAAAAAGCACAGCCTGATACCAGATTTTACAGTCCCCAAAACAAGATACAGGTGTAAACTTTTTCTCTCGTCTACAAGAGAGTAGTTTCTAGTGCTTTTCATAAAGTAGGAGAGGGAAAAGGCAAGACGTTGCACATTGATTGAAGTATAAATAGAACTCTTATTTGGTACACAGAGATCACAATGTGACTGACAGTAAATCAGGAAGTCTTGTATCCTTTATGTCCGTATTTGCACCCACTGCCAGTTCAGCTTGAGAAGGCTGACATGCAATATTTTTAAGGTGGTCTATAAAGGTAAAAGGAAATGGTTGCTTCTGTAAAACAAATGGCCCATTCATAGGTGGTTGAGGACTAGCAAAAAATGAGAACAGGCCGATCACCACAAACTACAATAGAAAAGTCCGAAAGAGGAAACCAGCCATGTAAAAACAAACTAGGTTCTGCTCACTATTGTGAGTGAATGAAACACTGCTTTGATCTTGCATTGAGAGTTAACATTATTTGACCAGTCCTTGCATGCAAGATTGCAAGAATTGATACTTTAAACTTTAAAACTTTAACTTTTGCAACTTTAAGAC